TTAGAAGATGCTAATGCTAATGCTCATTTGGGATTGAAAACTGGCGAGACCGGCCGATCCCGGCCTATCAGAGCATGTGTTAAAGTTATAACTTAATAACTTAATAGCAACTTAATGGTTAGGACACAGACCTGTTGGTTAGGATATGCTGATGCTAATCATAATGTTAATGATAATGCTAATGATAATGCTCGTGCAAGATTTAAAGTTATTTAGCCTATTTTTAGACTCTTATTGATAACAACTGTTAACAACTTAATGGTTAGGACACAGACCCGTGGGTTAGGAGATGCTGATACTAATGCTAATGCTAATGCTCGTTTGAGATTGAAAACTGGCGATACCGATACCGGCCTATCAGAGCATGTGTTAAAGTTTAAAGTTATTTAGCCTATTTACTTAGTTTTCAGACTCTTATTGATTACAACTGATAACAACTTAATGGTTAGGACACAGACCTGTGGGTTAGCAGATGCTAATGGTAATGTGGGATCGGACTTTGAAATGAAAAATATCGGCGGCCAATCCGATCCAAATATCTGATCGGGACAAGCCTATTTTTCACTTCCGATCCGATACTGATACCGATCCCGGCCTATCAGAGCATCTACTAAAGTTATAACTTAATTACTTAATAACAACTTAATTGTTAGGACACAGACCTGTGGGTTAGGAGATGCTGATGCTAATGCTAATGATTATGATAATGATAATGCTAATGTTAATGTTGATGCTAATGATAATGCTAATGATAATGCTCGCGCGAGATTGAAAACTGTCAATACCGGCCGATACCAATCCCGGCCTATCAGAGCATCTATTGAAGTTTAAAGTTATTTAGCCTACTTACTTAGTTGTCAGACTCATGTTAAACAGGGATTTATTCTGATAACAACTTGATGGTTAGGAGACGCTAATACTAATGCTAATGTTCTATGGATTGAAAACTGGCGATATTGGCCGATCTGATTGCAGCCTATCCAGAGCATGTACTAAAGTTTAAAGTTATAACTTAATTCATTTATAACAACTTAATGGTTAGGACACAGACCTGTGGGTTACAGATGCTA